TATTAGTGTTTCTCAGCTTACTAAATACAATAACGTATTTATGGAATTCTTCTCTAACTCCTGTTTTGTTAAGGACTTGAAAACGAGGAAGATTTTGCTGCTAGGAATGCTTAGAGATGGGTTATATCAGCTGGTGCCACAAAGTTCAAAGCCAAGAACCAATGTCATAGAGTCAACCCCTCCAAATAATACCAACTGCCTCACAGTGAGCCACAGTTGTGAAGAGTCGAACTGTAGAGTCAAAACCTCAGAGTCTGAACTTGATACCTGGCATAGAAAGTTAGGTCACCCTTCCAGTCTTGTGCTAAATCAGGTTCTAAAGTCTTGTAATGAATTTATCAATGAAAAACTAGTTTTCTGTGAAGCCTGCAAACTTGGAAAGGCTCATGCCCTACCATTTAATTCATCCACATCTCATGCTTCAATGCCATTAGAACTGATTCACACTGATGTCTGGGGACCAGCTCCTCTAAATTCTACCACTGGCTTTAAATATTACATACTTTTTGTTGATGATTATAGTAGGTATACTTGGATATATCCCATGAAACTTAAATCAGAAGCACTTAACATTTTTATCCAATTCAAAACACTTGTTGAAAACAAGCTAGACAAGAAGATAAAAACTCTTTAGTCAGATGGAGGGGGAGAACTCAGGACCTTCAGTAAGCTAGCCTCAGATTTTGGAATTGAACTTAGACATTCATGTCCTTTTACATCTGCTCAGAATGGGAGAGTTGAGAGGAAGCACATGCATGTTACTGAAACCCGTTTAACACTCTTAACACAAGCCAAAATGCCACTTTATTATTGGTAGGAATCATTCAAAACCTCAGCCTTCTAATAAACAGACTTCCCACCTCTGTGCTCCAAGATAGATCACCATTTCAGAAACTTTTTGGACGAGACTTTGATCACACAACGCTGAAAACCTTTCCTTGCCTCAGACCCTGTCAAAGACATAAATTTGATTTTCATTCTAAAAAATGTGTTTTTATCGGCTATGGAGACTTACACAAATGGTATAAATGTTTAAGTCCAAGTGGTAGAGTTTATATATCCAGACATGTTCTCTTTAATGAGTCAGATTTTCCTTTCAAATCAGGGTTCTTAAATAAAAGGTCCAATTCACAACATTCCCAAAATGCCGATTCTGCCATAAGTTTACTTCCCTTTGTTATAGAGTCCACCAATAAGCCTATTCCTCCACCTAGCATTGATACAATACAACCTATTGCATCATCTACTGCAGATCTTCCTGACAAAGAGTTAGAAATTGAAAGTGGAAGTCCTGAAGGTGTTGTAAATTCTGAAGTAAATCAGGAAGAACATGATTTACCTGAGGAAGAAATTGAGAGACACAGTTCAGAGGAAGGAGGAATTGAAACAAATGCTCAAACCATAGATGAAGTTCAGATCACACGGCATAACATGATTACACGGAGCAAGGCTGGGATTTATAAGCCAAAGGTTTATGCAAATCAAATTGTGATACAGTCAGCAGAAACTGAGCCACTGACAGTTGAAGAAGCATTGTCAAACAGCAGGTGGAAGGAAGCGATGAAGGAAGAGTATAATGCCTTAATGAAAAATAGAACATGGACACTGGTACCTAAGGAAGTGGGTATGAAAATAATTGGTAACAAGTGGGTATTCAAACTAAAGCGTGACTCAAAAGGAAAGGTGCAAAGACACAAAGTGAGACTCGTTGCTAAAGGTTTCCTTCAGACGCCTGGCATAGATTTTGGTGAGACTTTCAGCCCTATAATTAAGGCCTCAACACTTAAGGTTATTCTAACTCTTGCAGTGTCCAAGGATTGGGAAATTAGGCAAGTAGATGTGAACAACGCCTTCCTGAATGGTGAACTGAATGAGGGGGTCTTTATGAATCAGCCGCAAGGCTTTATTGATAAGAGGAATCCAGATCTTGTATGTAAATTGAAGAAAGCCCTGTATGGACTGAAACAGGCCCCGAGAGACTGGCATGATAAGCTCAAAAGTACCTTGCTGGAATGGAAGTTTAAACAATCTAAAGCTGACAACTCACTATTCTTCTCAGAAATCAAAGGTGATATAGTGTTTGCCTTAATCTATGTTGACGACATTGTAGTCACAGGAAACAACCCTCAGATTGTTCAGGAATTCATAGACAGACTAAACAGCACTTTTGCTCTCAAAGACATGGGTAATCTGAGTCAGTTTCTTGGAATTGAAGTATGCAGAGACGCGACTGGCTTGTATTTGACACAGACAAAATATGCTTCTAATTTGCTGAAGAGAGTTGGATATGAAAGTCTAAAACCGAGTTCAACACCCATGGCTGCTGGCAAATCGATTTCAAAAACTCAAGGTCAACCTATGGAGGATCCAACCGTGTATAGAAGCGCCATAGGTGGACTCCAGTATCTGTACCACACTAGACCAGATATCACCTTTTCAGTTAACAAACTAAGTCAATTCCTTCAAAATCCTACTGATGCTCACTGGAAAGCACTAAAAAGAGTGTTTAGGTATTTGAAGGGCACGCTGAATCATGGACTTGTCATCCAAAGAAGTGATGATCTCAATGTAACTGATTTTGCTGATTCTGACTGGGCTTCATGCCCAGATGACAGGCGTTCTACTGCAGGTTATTGTGTATATCTTGGAGGTAACTTGGTCTCCTGGAGCTCTAAAAAACAGCACGTGGTTGCAAGGTCAAGTACGGAGGCTGAATATAGAGCACTTGCTCACAATGCTTCAGAGATTTCATGGATTCAGTCTCTGATGAATGAACTAGGCCTGGCTCAGAAATGTGCTCCAGTTATTTGGTGTGACAATCTAAGTGCAAGTGCACTTGCTTCTAATCCCGTCTATCACGCACGCACTAAACATATTGAACTAGACATTCACTTTGTGAGAGACAAAGTATTAAAGAATGAATTAGAAATCCACTACATTCCTTCATCAGAACAAACAGCTGATATATTGACCAAGGCTCTACCTCATTCAAGTTTTCTATTGCTTAGAGACAAGCTTGGAGTTGTTGAACATACTCCACCTTGAAAGGGGGTGTTAGGATTTGTTATCCATCAGCTGTTAGTCAACAGCAGGCTAATAGATTTCTGTTGGTATGCATAGTGGCGTGAAACTAGGAAGTTGTCGCACTAATAATCTGTTAGCTCCATTAGGAATTAATTCTAGAATCTTCTTGTTGCTGTATATATTCCTTCTACAATTGTAACGAGAATAAAACTTGAATAAGTTCAAAATCATTTCAAAAGTTGACTGCAAATAAATTATTAAGTTCATAGTGGTACTCATGAATTAAAAAAAAAATAATAATAATAAAATTAAAAAAAAAATCTTAAAGGTTAACTTTTTATTGCACGTCTTTCGCCTTATTTTGGTTATTCAAATTTTGAGTTTGGAGCTATAAATAGTGGATCAATACATGAAAACGCCCTACAAATCTCTCTCTATTACTCTCTGCATTTGGAGGATAGTGTGTCTCACATCTGTGAAATTTCTTTTCAAAAAATATAGTCAGACACTTAAATGGTGCGATTATACACTGATTCACCATATTCTGACCGTGAACAGAGAATTGATAATCACAATGTCGATGAAGATGAACCAGAAACAGAAACAAGGCAAGAGCAAGATATTGAGACGCCCAAAGAAGAGTCTGAGAATGAACACTTGGTAGATGACCAAGAAACAAATCAAGAAGATGGTGATCATGATTATCAAGAAGAAGAGAATAATCAAGAAGGAGATGGTGATGATCGTCAAGAAGAAGAGAATATTCAAGGAGATGGTGATGATCAGCAAGAAGAAGAAGAGGAGGAGCCCCCTTCAACTACTCCTGCTACACTGCAAACAGATGAAGAAGGAAATCAAGAAAACGATAAGGAGGTCATTCATGGTGATAGCACCTCCTCAGACTCGGTGGAAGTGGAAGGACCAGAAGAGAGCCGCAAAAGGAGAAGAGAATCCTCCACGGAGGAAAAAGAAGAACAAGATGCAGAGGAAGACTATGAAGAAAGAGAAGAAGATGATGAAAAAGAACAACAACATGAAGATCAGCAAGTAGAAGAGCAAGAACAACCACAAGAGCACCATCCTCCTGAAGTTGATAAGCCCTTTTTCAATGCAGATCCATACTCTAATACTCCCCCTTCAACACAGAGTGTAGACTTTGGTAGACGGGTCCAACATCGTTCACAACAACCAATACGATCACTCAGCTTTGGCCAATCTGCAACTGAAATACACCACTTGCCTGAAAATATTTCTGAAAAAGTTCCCGTAGGAGGAGACAAAGAGGAACAGGGAGTTAATAGGGAAAAGGAAAATCGATCTTAGAAGGTAATTCAGATGTTAATATTACCATACTGGAGACACTTTTCAGAATTCAGATTTTAGGGTTCATTCTCGAGGTTTGATTCTCATCTCAGGCGTAGCTTCAATGATTCATTCATTCAAGGGTAACAGGTTTTGCGATTCTTTTACCCGTTCTTTTACTGAAATCTGTTAAGAAAATTAGACATTCGGTTGTATTTTCATTTCAAGAATCTGAAAATTTACAAGAGCAAATTTCTTCTGCTCTTCTCAATCTTTTGAAAATCTGGGTTGTGTTTGCGTTTATGTTTTTTGTAAATCCAATTAACAGATATACATTTCTGTGAACGATCAGTTTCAATCTTCAGATCCCATTTATGTGCTTAATCAGTTAGTTAACATGTTAACGATGACTTATCAATTATAGATATTATACATTTACCAAATGTATTTCAACAGTACAACCCTAACAGAGATAGCCTTCAGGGTCATCTTCTTTGTGTAATGAGCCTGTCTTATCTCTTATTTTGTAACATGGAAACTGTACATGGAAAAGGAGAAGGCTTAATCAGCCAATGTGTTGATTATATACCGTTCACAATTGTGTTCAGTGATTCTCTGAACTGATTTATCATTCTATGATGCATGTACACGTCGGCCGGTGTAGTCAGAAGATTTTAGAGCAATCTGTAGCTCAGTTCTCTTTTTGATATTAACATGTTCTTGAACCACTTGACAGAGGCCTTTGGTATCCTTGTGAGGTTGTTCTTGAAATCCACATAATATAATCCGAACCGAACAGTATATCCTAAGTTCCATTCCCAGTTGTCAAGCAAGGACCAGACGAAATAACCACGAATGTCGCATTTGTCTTGCCTGCATTTAATGTAGTTTCACTTCTTGTGCATAAATTAGCTTTTTGTAGAGATAAAGCAGCAAAATTTAATTGAGGCTTGCAAATTTGCACAATGATCTGCACCTGATAGCAGCAGACAAGTTTGATAGATAGTCTCTGTGATAATTTATCCTCTTGTGATCCTGCAAAGCCTTTTCTATTGTTATATGAGGCCTATTAGAATCATCCATACCTGATATCACAAAACAAAACAAAGCATAAGAATTATCAATAGTACGTAGTTGAGTTAGCTTTGGAGGCAGAAAAAACCTACCATTTTCGGTTATAATTACTGGTGGATTTCCATACTTATCTTTAATGTAGTTTGCTAACTTCCGGATGCCCCATGGGACTACGTGTAACCAACTAGATGCACCCTGGAGAGGGAAAGCTCTTTAAAATTTAGGAATTTGAACTTGATTTTCAAATTTTTGGCCTTAATGAGAGGCTAGAACATACTCTTTCTCCAATAGGAACTCCATGTTTTGATGCTAGAGTGATAGATAACAGAAAATGACGCACATTAGTACAAATCTTGGTGAATCTTTATTGTTAGTATAAAAGACAGGGCTTTTGGTATATTACAGGTGGTTATTACAGCAGAATCAGACATTGCATCCTGTAATATCATTTTGCGGATCCGAGTTCTGTCATTACGGGCATAAAGCGTGGTGTAATGATTTATCCCGACAAAATCTAAGGACCCTTTGATTATTTGGGACACTTCAGAAGTGATCACTGGAAGTCTTTCTGCAACCAACTTCTGCATTGAAAGAGGATAATTCCCAAGGAGAAGTGGATCAAGAAACCTGATTCACTTAATCCCAGTCACACAATTTTATTTGCTGAATTTTCATCATGATTTATCTTATAATGTACTTCTTGCGAGGAATTAGGAATTACCATCCAAGTCCAAAATCCATTGCTCTTCCTGCAGCATCTTTGTCCTCGTCAACATCTGATATTGGCTCATACCACTTGGCATCTAATGCTATCCCGACTTGACCTCGTTGACTTTCCTGGATAAACAATTAGTGGGACTCTCACTTTCATATTCTGTTTGTTTAATTACCAGAGCCACAGGTCGAAATTCTTTTCGTTTATACAAAATACCTTGAAATTGCAGTGGTAACTGTGATAAGCAGCAGCATGAGCCAAAAGAATGTTATGAGTTACGATATAAGGCTCGACAGACGATTTTCCTTTTTTGCAGAAAAAATGTCCAAGAATAGAGCATCTTCCTGGAGCTTGAATCCCATAATTATAACCTTGGATTGCAATTCCATGAGGCTCATTGAATGTAATCCAATTTTTTACCCTATCCCCAAACGCTTTGAAACAGGTAAAAGCATATTCTTCAAAATCATTTCTGTAACAAATATAGACATTCATTAAACTTCAACATTGACCTCAGATAAAGAATAAGACCACTTACATAACTTGATTGCTTAATAATCCTCCATATCTATCTTCAAGCATCTGCGGAAGATCCCAGTGATACAAAGTAGCATAGGGCTCGATTCCTGGTAGACATAAACGTGTTATATTCAGTAATACGAGATACTTCTGCTGTATAAATTTCATTCTTTATCAAACCTTTTTCAGTTAAAGCATCTATAAGATTGTTGTAGTATTGTATTCCTTCCGGATTTGGTTCCCCCGTTCCATCTGTTAATAAGCACATCCTGAAGTTGTAAGTGATTTGATGTAAGACAGGAAATAATTACGGGAAAATTGATTAAAGATATGTTATCGTACTTGGGAAAATTCTTGACCATGATATGGAGAATCTGTAAGCATCCATGCCCATGTCCTTCATCAAGACTATGTCATCCTGTCATTTGAAGTTCATATATCCATTTCAATTAGGAAAAGGACAGTCTTGAATTGACTCCTTTTTTTTTTGTTACATGATTGTGTGCCACCAAAGATATTCTCTTATTCTTGTATTTTAAGTAGTGCAGTGATGCACTTGATTATTACTTTATACCTATCTCTTGATTGTAGATGTTCTTATCCTTTTCTCCACATATTCTGGCTATACACGCTATCAACAAAGTCAGAAATTCCTTACAGCACATGTAACTTCTAGTCTATGCACAAAAGTTGGTAAGAAAAGAGCAATGCTACATGTAAAGGGAAAATGGAAAATTATAGATGGGTTTACAAAATGACACATGACAACATTTATTTGGTAAGAAAACATAGTTAAAATAGTCAATCAGGTGCTGCCATCTTAGCACCACTATAACTGTCCGTGCATTTCCCCTGTACAAATATCAGTTCTGGTAAGAAAAATCTACATGCCCTCTTACATGTAGTTTGAACAAATTTATAAATGGCAATGGTGAGACTTCAACTTAGGACTTCTATCTGCTTTGATTCGACGTTAAACATCCATATGTAAAAGTTAGACCATTTATTTAAATTTTAATCTAAAACAGAGATAAAAGATGAGAAAATAGAAAACAATTCATTTTGTTAATTTAACAGTAAAATAAAAAAGTAAAAAATCAAGTGCCTAGAATACATCTGATGGAACTTGTCAAGAAATGTGCACCTTAAACCGATGATATTGATCAACAGCTGTATTCGCATTGCTGAAATCCAATATCTTTCCTAATTCAGCACAAACCAGCATATTAAGTAAATCCTTAAACAGATAAAGCATATTTTGTAGGATGATCTTCTACATTTCAGTATAATTTAATAGTTCTTCACGGCTTGTTTAATAATATGGATTTCACAGTATATAATAAGAAGAAAAAGAAGCTAAAATAGTATGACAAACATGCCACATAGAGAACAAACCTGGTTGCCTTGTGAATTTATCCCATATGCTGTCTCCTTTATTTCCTTCATTTACAGCACCTTCAAACTGTTGCCCAGAAAATGCACACATTTAAAAAACAGAAAGCAAAACCAAAAAATTCAACACTTGATTACCTGATAAGCCGAAGAAGCAGTTCCAAAAATGAACCCATTTGGAAAATCAACCCGGCTAATGGATTCTGATTTCCCGAACAAAAATGTTACAGAGAATAGAGCAAAAATGACTGTCATTGATAAGCGACGCAATTTTCGAGAAATCCTGTTTCTAAACCAATGGGCAATCTGATTATCAATTTATCTTAATGCTTTTATAAAATGATAAAGAATGGCGTAAAACTAGAACTATCTTAGTTCTGAAGACGAAAAAATTGCGGTTAACGCCAATAAATTTGGAGAGGACAAAAAAAAAAAAAAAGAACAAAAAAGGCAAGCAAGGTTGAAGAGGTTGGCTGCTGGTTAAGCAAACTTGGATTTTGCTTACACGTTACCAAGCGGATAGATACAGGAACTGCCGAGTGGACTCGTGGTGGCGAGTGGCACTCATTCTTTGATTCCCTTGCACGTAATGGCTTTTGAGTTGCATTAATGGATAAACAAACAGTTGAAATATTAAAAAACAAACAGTTGAAATAATAAAAGATAAGTATACCACTAATCTTTATGGGGCAAGATTGGTTGTCACCATGGACATTGGACAATTCAAATAAAATTATTAGGCTACAATTGAGTTGAATCGATTGAGCATGATCAACTCTCATGTGCTTAAAAGAGATGATCTCGTGACTCAATTCGATCCACTTGTTTAAAAGTTTGTGAAATTTTGTACAATCAAAAAAAATTCAAACCTTTTATTCTTTGCTGGATTGCGACTGCACTCAAGACAGGAAGAGCTAGGAAGATGGTTAACATGGATAATTTTCAAGAATTTTGAGTTTGTAATAGTAGAATAGGGTAAGAATCAATGAATCATGCATATTGAAGTGTCATATGTTTAATTAGATAAGATTGACAATATATTATTAAAAAATTGGAATATAAAAAAAAAAAAAGTCAATATTTTATCTTTATAATTGTTTAGTTCAATGTACCAAACATTTTATATTAATAAACAACTTTGCTGGTAGAATTTCACGTGTATATTTTTCATTTTTATTATTTTGTCTAAATGCTAGGCATTTTATGTTTGTGAGGATAAATTGAATTGCACTTATATTTTAGTAGCCAAAATTAAGCAAGAGCTCTCCAAAATTAAGTCACAATAATATAGGGGTGACAATTTGGCTCGGTAGGCTCGGCCCGGAAAAAAATCCGATTGGGCTCGATCATGGTTAGATAGAAACGAGCTGAGGCTCGGTCCAAACCCTATTTTGGAGAGTCGACTCGAGCTAGAGCCAGTCCGTGTGGCACGTCAAGCCACACGGGCAGCCGATGTCACAAGCCATTTTCGGTCCGTGATGAGCTGAACCACAAAAAGATAAAATAAAATGGAAAGTCAAATGTAGCCGCAACAAGGCACGTTGCAAGGGCTACAACTGCCTTGTCAAGGCAGCTACAATGCAGCTTCATGTACTTTTTTTACAGTGTTAAATAATGTCAAAATTCAAATTTGAATTTAAAATTTAAATTGAGTTGAAATGGATATATTTGTTTTTATTATAAATATGAGGTAAAATTTTAAATTTCATATCAATTTACTTCAAACAATTTTACTTGCAACGTTCTAGTTTCAATTTCAATATCCAGTTATTTTTATTTTATATTTGTCACGAATTTAAAAAAAAAAAAAAGAAAAATGAAGTCGACTCAGCTCACTAGGGCCCGAGCCGCAAACTTGGGTTAAACTTAAATTTTTTTGTCGAGCCAAGACAAAAAAGTCTGAACCATTTTTATTCAAACGAGCTCGAGTTTTGAATTTCGACTCACAACTCGACTCGTTGATATCCCTACAATAACATATAATTTATGATCAAAATCACATATTTAAATATGTGAATTTTGGATCTATGTGGTTGAAAACATCAATGTAGACATTAAATGACATGAAACCACCAATTGAATTGAAAGAAAGCCCTCCACCTTCACATCACGCAAAGTCGTGTCCAATTTTTCCATACATATTGAGTGTTTTAAACTATATAGAGATTCAAATTCATATATTTAATTATGTTATCCATAATAAAATCAAGTGAAAGATTGGAGGAGTTGAATCTTTTCACATTTCAATATGCTTTATATATTAGTGCTAATATGATGTCTTTAACTATTAAAAGACAGCTACTAAATGAGTTTCTTGCCCCTTATCATGAGTAATTATTTTTTGATGAGAAAAACTCATAACTAAAAATATGTTGAAATAGAATTTCCAAAAATAAAAAAATTGTGAAAAAATTTCAAAAAACGGGTGGTTACATTTTGTGACATTTGATAAAATATTATAACATGTAATTTAATTAAACATGTTAAGTCACAATAATATAGGGGTGACAATTTGACTCGGGAGGCTCGGCTCGGAAAAAATCCAATCGGGCTCGATCGTGGTTAGATAGAAATGAGCTGAGGCTCGGGCTAAACCCCATTTTGGAGAGTCGACTCGAGCTAGAGCCAGTCTGTGTGGCACGTCAAGCCACACGGGCAGTTGGCGTCACGGGCAATTTTTGATCCGTGATGAGCTGAACCACAAAAAGATAAAATATAATGGAAAGTCTAATGTAGCCGCAACAACGTAGGTTGCAAGCGCTACAACTGCCTTGTCAAGGCAGCTACATGTACATTTTTTTTATAGTGTTAAATAATGTTAAAATTCAAATTTGAATTTAAAATTTAAATTGAGTTAAAATGGATATATTTGTTTTTATTATAAAAATGAGGTAAAATTTTAAATTTCATATCAATTTACTTCAATCAATTTTACTTGCAATGTTCTAGTTTCAATTTCAATATCTAGTTATTTTTATTTTATATTTGTCACTAATTAAAAAAAAAAAAAATCAAGTCTAATCGGCTCACTAGGGCCCGAGTCGCAAGCTTGGGTTAAACCTAAATTTTTTTGTAGAGCCTGTCCAAAAAAGTCCGAACCATTTTTACTCAAGGGAGCTCGAGTTTTGAATTTCGGCTCACGACTCGACTCGTTGACATCCCTACAATAACATATAATTTATGATCAAAATCACATATTAGTTTTTAATTAAACAGGGTCATAGTAACACATATACTATTTATTAGTCATAAATTATTTATTAATCATTTTTTTTTTCTAATAAACAGGTTACAATCACCCCATCTCACATCATTCCACCATTTCTAATAGGAGATGTCTGTTTGGGTCAGATTAAAATTTGATTTTAATCAAAACCTTCTATCACAATTTACTAAAAATTCAATTTTAATCCCCACCAAATAACCTACTAACCAATTCATGCATAGAAGCATTTCCAAATTCAAGATTACTTGCTTTTTCGCACAGGGATATAGGGAAAAGAATAAGGTTTTGGATTAATTTCTCGTGTGATACCATATGGAATTGACCCAATTGATGAATCGTCAAGTGACTCTATTTCTGCGGAACATCCTATCAAAGTCTTAGAAATCATTCATTTCCCTTTAAAACAATGGATTCTCGAAGTCTTGAATAATTTAATTGGCGCCTTCAGTTATACACACGAAAGGCGGGTCGGCGATTTTTGGCTTACGACATGAACAGTCGCTTCCTCACTATCAATTTCTTTTATTTCTTGTCCACAACTCTTCTTCGTTAAGAAATGAAGAAAAGGAAAAAGAGAAACATATTCAAAATACATCTTTCTCCAAATTACATTTTTAATGGAGTCCAAATAAGGGCTTAATCTTGGAATATATCTGAAGTTCGATAAAAAAGTAAAGTATGAGGGTTCTCTACGGAGTATCGAATGTTCGAATTCTAACCACAGTTGGAAGGCAACATTTATGATGGAAAGCAGAGGTCCATAGGGAGGAGAACCGTCGAATGTCCGACCCAAGTGTGTATAAGCTGTGACCATATCCGAATTGGCCCCAGAGGTGAACCAGGGGGAATGTTGCCACTTCTCAGGATTAGTCTAACGAAACTTGGGCACCTAAGTAAAAAAAATGAAAAGAAAGAATAATGCTATTTGTACATTATGGTGGGCTATAGATTGGAAAAAAATAGGTTTTTCTTTGAGGAAATTAGGCCCTATACCCCTTTTTTAACAGTGTTTTGATTTATACCCTTAAACATAATAAAACATTTTAATGAAATATTAATTACGTCCAAAAAGCCCAACCTTACAAGCCCAAACCACATGACTCTATTCTACCCTCCTTCCTTACGAGCAAAATCCCAGAACCGTAAAAAGTAGTTTCCCAAATCCAAGCAAATCCGAGCAAAATCGAATTAAATTCTACAGAGGTGGATGGTTGCATTTGTAGGTTTGGTAAATAAGATGAAAGATACTGCCCCTTGTGTAATAGTCCAAACTCGCACGCCAACTCTTTCCATTTCTCTCGCATTCAGCTTCTTGTGGCTTTTTTTAATTTTCATAACATGTATGACCTTAATTGTTAGAGATTTTTTATGCATGTAAGGTGTTTGACAAAAGGATAATATGAATTCTGCCACATTTTCTACGAAAAAGTGACGGTTTGTCACTTTTCTATGAAAAAGTGACATTCTGTCACTTTTCTAAAAAAAAGTCACTCGCCCTCCCCAATTTTGTGATCCTTTAACCTCTCATTTCTCAATTTTTGAAATATGTCACTTTTTTTGAGTTTGTCACTTTTTTACTTTTTTATGTCACTTTTTTTGAGTTTATGTTACTTTTCAAAAATGTGACAATTTTTATAAAAAAGTGACATTGTGTCACTTTTTTCATTTTACACAGTATTTTTTATTTCCTAAAAATTTTTCACATGATTTTTCAAAACACCCCTAATTTTAAGGGTATTTTTGTAAGTACCCCTTTTTCTTTTCTTTTTTTTTTTTGCAACATTTGCCAAGCTGTTGGACCTTCTAGGATTTTTTTCACTATACTGGGCTCACTATCTTGGGCCCATTTCAGCTACCAATACCTAGGGCAACCCAACCCTAATTCGACTCTCTAAAACCTTATTTCTCTCTTCCCTAATCAGTAAACACTACCCCGCCGTCTCCTTCCCCATCAAACACAGAGAAACCGAAATGGGTCGTGTAATCCGGGCACAGCGTAAGGGAGCAGGATCCGTTTTCAAGTCCCACACCCATCATCGCAAGGGTCCGGCCCGATTCCGTTCCCTGGACTTTGGTGAGCGCAATGGCTACCTTAAGGGTGTGGTGACAGAGATCATTCACGATCCTGGACGAGGTGCACCACTTGCCCGAGTCACCTTTCGCCACCCCTTCCGGTACAAGCACCAGAAGGAACTGTTCGTCGCCGCCGAGGGTATTTACACTGGTCAGTTCCTTTACTGTGGTAAGAAGGCCAATCTAGTGGTTGGTAATGTTTTGCCCCTTAGAGCCATCCCCGAAGGTGCCGTCGTTTGCAACGTCGAGCACCATGTTGGTGACCGTGGTGTTTTCGCTAGGGCCTCTGGGGACTACGCTATTGTTATCTCACACAACCCTGACAATGGAACCTCTAGGTGTGTTGCTAGATATTTGCTCTGCTTAATTTGTATGTTGTTTTGTAAATTAATATCATGCTTGCAAATTATCGTTGAATTGAGTTATTTTATGGTTCTTGATCTGAATTTTAACCACATTGTACGTTTCGAGAAGTTGGGAATGAGAAATTTGGATCTATCTGAGTGGTTTACAGATTTCGTTTAAAGTACTCATAAGCACTACGCTGTTTTGCTATGCAATTTGTTTATAGGGTACGTTTGGGAGTTGTGAATGGTGGAAAAATTAATGCTTTTTATAGTTTCCTTGGTCTTCACGCATCCAGTTCATTTAGTTTAGTAGCTGTTAGATTGTATAGAGATGAAACTCTAGGAAACAGAGTATTGGTTCAGTTACAGTGTTTCTCAATTTCATTCTAGCTTCTGTTCATATTTTTTTTCCTCCCAAGTTGTCTTGCAATAATATGTTCAACCTGGGCTTCTGCTTGTTAGAAAATTGCTCTGACTATTATTTTTTGGTTTGTAGATTTAACAATCTGCTTATCAGATATATTGGTCCTTTGATGATTTTTGTGGTACATGAGAGATTATGGCAGTTTTTCTTTTAGATTTGAGACGACTTTATGAACAGGAATGGTGAATTTATGATTGAAGTAGTTGCTATTGATGCAAGAGGCCTATGTGCTGCATTTCATTGTTAGTTTTCTATAAAAAAATTTTATTTTGCACAGTGACAACTAATAATTTTATTTTGAAAAAACCCACATGGACCTCATCTTTGATTAGCTATGTAGTTTGGCGATATTGCTTAATTTGTGATTTTTATGAAACACATTTACTTGCTCCAGGCTTCCACATATTATGGACTGTTAACACTGAAAGGCTATTCTCAATTTAGTTAACTCTAATTATGTCATCTACTAGCTTGGTGATTTTAAGAATGACTTTCCAGTGATATACCAAACTGAGAAACTACATCTGCTCGTAACTTGGAGGTTTGACAAGTTCTTATGGTTGACAGGATTAAGCTTCCTTCAGGAGCCAAGAAGATTGTGCCCAGTGGCTGTCGTGCCATGATTGGCCAAGTTGCTGGAGGAGGACGTACTGAGAAACCACTGTTGAAGGCCGGTAATGCTTATCACAAGTTCAGAGTGAAGAGGAACAGCTGGCCTAAGGTTCGTGGTGTTGCTATGAATCCCGTGGAGCATCCCCATGGTGGTGGTAACCATCAACATATTGGTCATGCAAGTACTGTTCGTCGGGATGCACCACCAGGGCAAAAGGTTGGTCTTATTGCAGCTAGGAGGACTGGTCGTCTACGTGGTCAAGCTGCTGCTACAGCATCTAAAGCTGATAAGGCTTAGTTTAATAATTAATGATATGCCGATTTCAAATTTGTTTGCTGTCTTCTTTTTATTATTTGTGAATCAGACTCTCTACATGTTCAATTGTCACTGCTACGGTTTTTTGTTTGGGAAATTATCATTTTGTCGTTATACTATTCTAAGGTTTAGCTATATCGAAGTTTTCATTTAGGGAGTTGTACAAAAGAAAGATTTAAAATTTCTCAATAACATGTTTTCTCAAATTCATTTACAACCACATTCCTCCAATAAAATGTCACATATTTGACGCTTGAGAGTTGCTTGACATAACGAGTAAATTAGAGGATAAAAACGAGAAAAAGGCATATCTTAGTAAGAATCGCAAGTTCATAACTTTTGTGCTATGCTCTCGTTTGACAATAAACTATTTAACTTTTAACTCAAATTTTTTCTTTATTTTTAACTACATATTTTCCTAAAAATATCACTATTTAAAATGGAAAATACTAAGTGTACATTAGGAGGTATATAAGGGTGTCCATAATGGACACCCGACGCCCTCCTATTGGATGAAGTGTTGGCCCCACCTGCACTCCATCCAATAGGGAAGCGCCGGGTGTCCATTATGGACACCCTTATGTATTCCTTGATATACTTGTAGCACAACTCAAAAATTTAAAATATTGTTCTTTTTCCAAATGATAATGCTTGATGTACACTTGTGTGTATCATGGTTTATACTTTGCCATGTGGTGAAGTGTTTTTTGGTCGTGTAAAAAAATAAAAATAAAAATTTATCAACAAAGGGCTTTTTTTATTTTATTTTTTTAATGTTAAAATTATGAAGTTACCATTTTTCCTTTTGTTGATTTGGTCAAAATAAATTTTTGGAGTCAACTAACAGTGAAAGTAACCGTTTCCATCCATTTGGACTTGAATTGCGAATTTTTTGAAGGTTTGTACTCACGATAGTACAAATGAAAGGTTTTGACAAAGTCTACTATTAAATGAAATGTTTAATACCGTGGTTGCAATTTTCCCTTCTTACAAATGACAAAATTCTTCCCAAATAATGATTATCGAACAGTGCTAAAAATTGTACGTATGTTCAATGCCTTTCTTATTTTGTAGTACCCCTTTCACATACTTATTTTAATCATGTATCTAGATCTTGATAAGATTGACACATTAATAATTAATTTAAGCCTAATCTTCTTATTGGTTTGAGATTTGAGGAGAGTGAGAGTGTGTCAACGTATGAAGTGGTAGATAAGCTAATCCCATCATATATATATTTTCAAAGGATAACAGTTGTTAATAAATATTGAGATCTCGAAGCTCTAGAAGCTCTAGAGACACACCACTTAGGCCCTCAATCAATTTATTTTTGACGTTTGTATACCAATTTTAACGGTCTTTTGTTGCAAGTTATGTTTAGTAGATCATTTTTATTTTTACCAACTCAAAAGAAATATCAGAAGAAAAAGAGAAGCAAAACTTGCAACGTCCTGTTTCATTTTCTTCTTTTGGCGTTCTCTTGTGTTTTTTTTTTTGGAGTGAAATGATGATGTTTTACCATAATTGCCAAAATGGATGGCTAGGCTAGGGATACTTAAATTGGACCGATTTACGGGTATGTTCGTCAATTATAGCGGGCTATGTGACTGGTCGACTTGATTTTATTAGAAAAGTTGTACTACTAGTAAATACTACTTGTTGAATTTTATTAGCTAAATCAAACATGGCTTGATGTCAGGATGCATATGCCAAGAAAACTTAAATAGGGATTTAAATAGTTCATTTCGTAAAGTTTGGGGGCTCCATCTGTAATTGCCACTGTACAACACCAAAAATATAGAATCTTTCCCGCTGACGATTCATGGGACCTCCACTATTTAAAAACAGGATTTGCACGTACTAAAATTGAGATTTGGTGGAGCATTAACTCCGATTATATGGTAATGACAAATGATAAGTGTGTTTTGCGCACTTAATTATGATACAAAATAAATTGATTGTTGTTATAAAATACTCGAAAAGGACTTAATTCATTATATATTGTTTTTGTAGGACTACTTTGATGGAATGAAGGAAATGTACATGAAAAATGGTGAAAAGGACTAAAATGCAAGTCAACGAAAGTTCAGGGACTAAATCGCAATTATCCAAAAGTTGACTCAATTGATGAATCGAGCATGGAATTCTACTAAGGAGCTAATTGTCGATTACATGGATGACTAGAAGTAGAAGGAAGATGAATCAAGGCTTAAAAGTGCAAGGAAAGAAGATTGAGGACCAAATTGAACAACATAAAGAATCCTTTTTCCTTGCGATCGCAAGGAATACTGCCTTGCGATCGCCCAGACATCAACAGGAAGCCCAGGAGAGCAAATCAGTTGGTCCTTGCGATCGCAAGGAATCCTTCCTTGCGATCGCAAGGTAGGTTTTCTGCGCGAAATTTTTAGTTTCATTTTTCAATCCAAACACTTATGGAATGTTATTTTGGCACTCTATAAAAACCAAAACTCGTCTAGAATTAGGGGGGAGGCATTATTAGAGAGAAAAAGGCGATTTTGAAGACCAAGAAGAAAAGCTTGAAGTTAGGGTTTCACCTCAAGATCCAAAATTCGAGCTCTAACTTCTATTCTTTTGGTGATGTTTTCTTTCTATCAATTTTGTTATTATTTTCTTTTATCCATGCTAGGCTAGACTTTTTTATATATTAGGTGAACGATGAACTTCGCAATATGATCTTTTAATTCTTTATTTTGCAATTTGATATTCAAACAAAATTGATGGATGTTGAATGATTTATATATACTTACTTGCCTCCATGATTATAGTGCACGATAATTGTGTGAGTTTGGGTGATTTATTTTATGCATTCGAAAGAAGGGAAATAAACTTAATAA